GGCGCTGGCAGCAGAGGTGGTGGCTTTGGAGGAGCGGGTGCTGCGGCTGCGGTCGAATGAGCTGAAGCTGGAGAGACAGGCAGAGGGGTTTCAGGCAGAGGCGGAGGCACAGCGGTGAGTGATGTGGATGGTGAATGTCTCGTGCACATGGTGATTGTTTGATATGGGTTGAGGTGGTGGTGGTGCTCGCAGCAGAGGTGGTGGCGCTGGAGGAGCGGGTGCTGCGGTTAAGGTCGAACGAGCTCAAGCTGGAGCGACAGGCAGAGGGGTTTCAGGCAGAGGGGTTTCAGGCAGAGGCGGAGGCACAGTGGTGAGTGGTGTGAGTGGATGTCATGTTATTCTTGAGTTGTTGTGGCAGAGGTGTTGGCGCTGGAGGAGAAGGTGCTTTGGTTGTCGTCCACTGAACTCAAGCTGGAGAGACGGGCAGAGGGATTACATGAGGAGGCAGAGGCACATGCAATTGACATGTCGTTTGCTTGCCATTCCAACCCCATGCCATTCACATGCCATTCCAACCCCATGCCATTCACATGCCATTCCAACCCCATGCCATTCACATGCCATTCCAACCCCATGCCATTCACATGCCATTCCAACCCCATGCCATTCACATGCCATTCCAACCCCATGCCATTCACATGCCATTCCAACCCCATGCCATTCACATGCCATTCCAACCCCATGCCATTCACATGCCATTCCAACCATGCCATTCACATGCCATTCCAACCCCATGCCATTCACATGCCATTCCAACCCCATGCCATTCACATGCCATTCCAACCCCATGCCATTCACATGCCATTCCAACCCCATGCCATTCACATGCCATTCACCTGCCATTCACATGCCATTCACATGCCATTCACCTGCCATTCACATGCCATTCACATGCCATTCACATGCCATTCACCTGCCATTTCCTTGCCATGCCACCCCCACGACACAGGCGTGCTGCATCAACCTTTGAGGCAGAGAGGAAGGAGCTCCGCGCCGCTGTGGATAAGCTAAATGAAGGTGAATGGGTTGTGGTGTGGAGTGGTGCGGTGTGGTGTGGCGTGGTGTGGTGTGGCGTGGCATGGCGTGGTGCGGTGTGGTGTGGCGTGGTGTGGTGTGGCGTGGCATGGCGTTGTGTGGTGTGGTGTGGTGTGGTGTGGTGTGGTGTGGTGTGGTGTGGTGTGGTGTGGTGTGGTGTGGTGTGGTGTGGTGTGTTGCTTGCCACGTGTTGAATATCTACAAATCAATGCCATATCACACCAAATGACATGTCATCACATCCTCCAATCCTCCACGTCACAGAGAAGCGCCAGCTCAAGGTGCAGCTGAGGAGAGTGACAGTGGGCTGATCGTGGTCAGGACTCAGACCTGCAGAACGTTTCCCATAACCATGGGCACATCTCCTCATCATATGGTAATCCCCCCTCCCCCCCCCCTCTCCAATCCTCCACGTGTCTCCTCAGAGAAGCGCCAGCTCAAGGTGCAGTTGAGGAGGGCGACAGTGGGAGGTGCACTCGGCGACATGTGGCGGGGCGACAGCACGTCCACGTCAGCAACGCCAGCTGTACCGTCCGTGAGCCAAGCAACTTCAACTGATGAGCTGGAGGCGGCCTTCCCGAGCCAAGCAGGACCGTCTGCCGAGGCAGGAGTGTCAGGCTCGGCATCTTTTGCTGCCGAGTCAGCCGCAGCTGGCTCGAGCACCGAACCATTCTCTGGAAGCTCAGCAGGGGTAACAAGGGAAGATGGAGGCTCGGCCGGACCTTCAGTGGAGGGTGGGGAGGCAGGAGAACAAGCGAGGAGGAGAGATGAAGAGGGAGAGACACTAGGTGAAGCTGGAAGGAGAGCAGTGGCAGAGGTTCGGGCACTGTTCACGCGAATGGAAAGTGACGGGCGGCATAACTTGGAGGAAGTGGGTGAGCAGCTGGTGAAGATGATTACTGCTGCTGTAGGGGCGGCAGAGGAAGGTGCTGCTGCTGCTGCTACTGCTGGTGGTGGTGGGAGGAGAGGGAGAGGAGGCAGGGATAGGAAGGCAGGAGAAGGGGACAATCAAGAGGAGGAGGAAGGGGAGGAGGAGGGAGTGGTGGATGAGTTTTTGTTGCTGCCCGCTCTGCTGCCCGGATCGGTGGATGTTTTGTCGGAGGAAGAGCAGAGGAGTCTGGAGAGCATTAACAGCCTGCTGACAGAGGTGAGAAGGCGAGAGGGAGGTTGGGGATGAGAGGGGGAGGAGTGGTGCGGATGAAAATGAGAGAGGTGGTAGGGATGAGAGGGGGAGGAGTGGTGCGGATGAAAATGAGAGAGGTGGTAGGGATGAGAGGGAGTAAGCCCTTCCGTTGGCAGAACGTTATCGAGTTTTTTTTTTGCACAACTTCCTCGCTGCTTTCATTTGCGCTCACCCACCCCTTACTCCCTTCATTTCCATCCACCAATCAGATGCAAGCAGAGAGGGAGCGCATGGCACGCACACTCAAGGAGGAGGCTGCCACGTCAGCAGAGCTGAGGGTGAGTTGCGAGAAAACCCAACTATCCCATGCCATGCAATGCCTTGCTGTCCCATGCCGTGCCATGCCATGCCATGCCATGCCATGTAAGCATGTGGCTGCTGGTGGCTCAAACCTCCTGGCAACCAGTTACATCCCACTCTCTGTATCATGCTGTTGACCGTCACACCTTTACTCACGCCGACAACTGTCGCACCCTTATCTGTCAAAGGCAGCAAATGAGGAGCTATCGCACAAGCTCGCCAGCCAGACGCAGCACATGGAGCTGCTGGTGGCTCAACCTTGCTGCACCATCTCCTTGTATTAAGCCCTAACTCACGCTTTACTGTCACGCCCTTTACTGCCACACCCTCTACTATCACAGGCATCAAACGAGGAGCTATCTCACAAGCTTGCAAGCCAGACGCAGCACATGGAGCTGCTGGTGGCCCAAACCTCTCTAACACACCCTATCACACCCTATCACACTTTATAACATCTGTTACCCTTTACTGTCACGCCCTTTACTGTCATGCCCTTTACTGTCACGCCCTTTACAGGCAGCAAATGAGGAGCTATCCCACAAGCTCGCCAGTCAGACGCAGCACATGGAGCTGCTGGTGGCCCAAACCGTCATGGCTGCTGCTTCCTCTGCCTCCCGATCCGCCTCGGGCGTTTTCAACGCCCGTGTGCCACGTGTCTCCTCCTCCTCCTCTGCTGCTGCTGCTGCTGTCGCTTCTGCTGCCATTGCACCCACCCCCGCTGCTAGCGCTTCCTCTCTACCCATTGATCCTGGAAATTCCTCTTCTGCTGCTGCTGCTGGTGATGGTGCCGCCAGTGCTGCTTCTGCTGCTGAGGAGGCGGCTGGCACTGGCACTGATGCAGTCACGGGTGCCAACCCTCCTCTTCTGCCTCCTACCGGCGTCCCTCCCGCCTTCCTCTCTCCAACTGCCAAGTCACTCTCAGCACCTTTGTTGAGCCAGGCAAACGGACAAGTGTCGCCGGCCGCTGCTGCCGCAGCCACTGCGCTGCTGGCAGGGGCGGGAAGGTTAAGTGAAGGCGGAGGCGGAGGCGGAGGCCCAGGAGGAGTGGGGTCGCCTCGAGCGGGAGGGGGAGTGGGATCACCACGCACGCCCGGCGCATCGGGTTACACGGAGTTCAATGACTATTTGGATGAAGGGGACGAGGTGAGTGTGTAAGATTCTGATGTCAGTGCAGGCGGAGGGGGAGGGGCAGGGGAGTGGGGCTGCTTTGAGCGGGAGGGGGGGTGGGATAGCCACGCACGCGTGGCGCATCAGGATACACGGAGTTCAATCATTATTTGGATGAAGGGGACGAGGTGAGTGCGTGCGTCGTTTTGAGGAGAACTGGGTGGGCTTTGTTATTTTAAAGGAAGTGGGCTTAGAGGTTTCCAGGTCACTCTCTGTAACCATCCCTCAGCTGTACACATCCCTTCTCGCATTCATGGCTGAGGAGGTGCTTCGCTGCTGGGACTGTGCCCTGTTCATACTTGTACTGCATTCTCATCTCCCTCACTTATATGATTGTATGCTTTCTTCCTACTCCCCCGCCCCGCTCCTCCATGCCCATTCCTTCTCTCAGGTGGCTGAGGAGGTGCTTTCCTGGCTGCTGCGGCTGTTCCCTAGCGGCAGACGCAACGGGCAGCCTGTGCAATGATAGGGAAAAGGGGAAGGGCGAGAAGCGGGGGTGGGGGGCGGGGGGGGGGTGGGGAGGGGGGAGGAGGGGGGGTGGTAGACGAATTAGGTCAGGTCAGGACGGGGTATGGGATGAGTGATGACTCATAAGCTGGTTGTTCCTAGCGCAAACGCAAGGGGCTTAAGTGCGGTACGTATGTGGGGAGGGGGACGGGCTAGAGCCTAGAGGTCTTGCCGGAGCAAGTTCTTGAGAGGGGAAATCCATATGAAGGGGGAGGGGCATCATGAGAGGGGATGAGATGGGAAAATTGATAGGTCACTAAGATGGCAAATTGAAGTGTGTTTGACGGGCTGTCACGTGTGTTGAGTTGAGTAGGCATTGAATTTAGTTAGGGGGCTATGGGCTGAACTGCCGCTTGGGAGTTACACGCCTGGGTCCATCCAAATTATAAGGACTGGTAGGGGATCTCCCACAAGACAGATGCGTGCTAGCTGGTTTTTTTGGCACATGCATAGCTCTGCCTAGCTGCTTCACAAAACTACCGTAGCAGATATATGTGCTGCTAACTCTCTCTACTGTTGTAACAGTATGTGAGATAAGATATATTGTTGCAACATAGCGAATACACTGCATGTGTTTACTTCCAACTTTACAGAGGAAGAACCTATCCAGCCAGTACTGCAGCACACGGATGGACGGATAAGTCAGCTGCATGGATCAATGTCTCATCCTGCTGTAGTGGTAATCAAATCTCGGATATGGATTCTGGAGTCCCAAGGGCCCGCAGATCTGTCTGTAAACTGTCTCCCTATCCCCAAATCTCGCCTCTGCAACACTAACCCTAACCAAACCAGCCCCACACCCCCACTGCTACTGCGCAGGTGTGGTAGTGACTGACGACTTGGGCTTGACCCCGATCTTCTTCCACGAGACAGCTGGCATGATCTGATTGGCGTCGACGCGGTCCTTGTAGATCACGGCGAAGTTGAGCAGCGAGTCGAGCAGAGCGTCCCCCAGGAAGTGCGGCTGCAGCCCAAGCTCAAGGAGCTTGGTGCGCTTGGCGTTGTAATAGTGCTCCTCCGCCTGGTGAGTATGGGATAGGAAGGGGTACAAAGCGGTAGAATGGGAAAGGGTTGAGCAATTGTCGAGCAGAGCGTCTCCCAGGAAGTGCGGCTGCAGCCCAAGCTCCAGCAGCTTGGTGCGCTTGGCGTTGTAATAGTGCTCCTCCGCCTGGTGGGGTGTGGGTTGGAAACAACAGGGTACAAAGCGGTAAAAAGGGATGAATAGGTTAGCAAGTTGAGCAGCGAGTCGAGAAGAGCGTCTCCCAGGAAGTGCGGCTGCAGGCCCAGCTCCAGCAGCTTGGTGCGCTTGGCATTGTAATAGTGCTCCTCCGCCTGGGATAGAAAGGGGTAGAGAGTGGTGGAGAGGGAAATACATGGGTTTGCAAGTGAGAAGGGGGTCGAGGAGTGTGTTGGACAGAAAGTGCAGCTGCAGCCCCAGCTCCAGCAACTTGGTGCGCTTGGCGTTGTAATAGTGCTCCTCCGCCTGGTGGGACATGGGGCGGAGAGGGAGTGTCGCGATTCCAGGGATGGAAAGGAAGAATGAAAAGGGAGGGCAGTTGTGACAGCAAGGAAGAGCAGCTGCAGGCTGAGTTCCAGCAGTCCAATAAGCAAAGGGGAGACGTGGGAGGGTGGGGGAAAGATCGTGTTCCACAACTCAAAACATGACTCATATCACGCGGATTATATGTGGAAACGTTGTTCATTGCATGGCAGATTGGTTGTAACCTTCACAGGTTAGTGGTACGCATACGACTTTCAAAGTTTAGGGGTTGTGAACCCTGGCAAAGTTTTGAATTCGAATTTCAACAAAGCTGCAGGCTGAGTTCCAGCAGTCTGATTAACAAACATTGGACGTGGGAAGGTGGGGGAAAGAGGGTCGCACAAAGAGAGGCGAAAGAAAGGGGTTGGTAAACTGCTCTGTGAACTGGTGAACCATTTTGATTCCAGCCAAACAGCACAGCACAGCACAGAGCAGCACACGCACCTCAACACGCGGGTTGGTTGGGCACGTTGATAGATTTCACTTCAATGCCCATCTTCAAGTCTTGCCAGGTTCCTCACAGAGAACTACTCTGTGAACTGGTTGCACCCTCGCCTTGCAACCAATAAACCATGACCCACACTCCCTGTCAACTCCAACCCAAACAGCCCATCACACATACCTCAACACGAGGGTTGGGCACGTTGATAGATTTCACTTCAATGCCCATCTTCTCCCCTGCAGCCGTCACCAGTCTTGCCAGGTCCCGCACAGAGAACTGCTCTGTAAACTGGTTGAACACGCGGAACTCGCCCAGCTTTGCCGGGTTAGCAATTGCTAGCTCAACGCACCGCACCGTATCACGGATGTCCAAGTATCCGCGGGTCTGCGAGGGAAAGGGGGAAGGGAGGGAGGAGAGAGGTGATGGTAAGTGTCAGGTCCCGCACAGAGAACTGCTCTGTGAACTGGTTGAGCACGCGGAACTCGCCCAGCTTGGCGGGGTTCGCAATTGCCAGCTCAACGCACCGCACTGTGTCACGAATATCAAGGTACCCGCACGTCTGTGGAAGAGAAAGTGGAGGGGCGGCAGGGGAGAGAGATTCTGGTTTAACACTTGCCAGGTCCCGCACAGAGAACTGCTCCGTGAACTGGATCAACACGCGGAACTCGCCCGGCTTGGCGGGGTTGGCCGGGTTGGATTCCCAGATACAAGCGGGTGTGCGGGGACAAGGGTACAATGGAAACGGGAGGGCGCGGAGAGGGGACGGACGAGGGGGCCAGCGAAAGGGGACCATACGGGAGCAACTTGTAGGTGGGACGGGTTGGGGATGGGGTGTGGTGGGTACAGGGGGATGTGGGGTGTTGGTAAGGGGCGTGTGGGCAGTGAGTCAGTGGTTGAACGCGGGGAAGGGACACTGGGTGGGGAGGGGGGACCATACGGGAGCAAGTTGTTGGTGGGACGGGTTGGGGATGGGGTGTGGTGGGTACGGGGGGACGTGTTGGTCAGGGACATGTGGGCCGTGAGCCAGTGAGCCAGTGAGCCAGTGAGTCCGTGGTTGCACACGGGGACGGAGCGCCGTATCCTCGTACACTAAACTCAGACCATCTGTACCCAATTTTCTTCGATGTTGCTTTTAAGTTACAGAGTCTACTCAAAAGTGGGCTTGCCTGCAGCCTGTCGGCTTGAGGAGGTCTGCTTCATGGTATGGCTTCCTGGTCCTGAGTCGACTCACAAGTCACCTCACAAGTCATCTCGCCTACAGTATGTCAGTCGGACTGCTTCATGATCATCGGTCGGATCTTACGAGCCTCTCTAGCTCGCCTTCCAACCCCAACTCCTGTTTCGTTTCCTTTTCGCACGAGCGCGACACACACGCACACCCCCTCTCCGTGCGCTCTCGTAGTGACCAAGCCTGTCTTGTCTCCTCTCGCCCTCGCCCAGCATTCTACTCGTTCTTCCTCGTACATCGTCTGCCCACCTTTCCATTCCACCCCCTCACGCGTCTTTCCATTCCATTCTTTCCCCTCGCCTCTATCCATCCCAACCCCCTCACCTGGCCGCCCTTGCCGTAGATGGTCAGCGGGTGCCCCACAGCCGCCTGGACTACAAATCGGTTGAGAGCGGTGCCGAAGACGCCGTCATAGTCCAGCCTATTGATGAGCATGACGTCTTTCTCCGTCTCGGGCGTCGCGACGCCGTACACCACGCCCTGGTTCAGATCCGTCGCGCGCATGTTCCACGCCTTGCACGCGAACGCGATGTTGTGCGAATCGTGCACCTGTGGTAACAGAAGAAGAATACAGTCACTCCTGAAAATTATAAAAACGCGTCAACAGTACGGAGAATGTTCTCCTGACACAGACAAATTTGCAGAAACATACATAACACCACGAGAGCGTACCTTGCTGAGGTGATAAAAGGAGCTGGCTTGTTTCGGGTACGGCAGCGTGTCCGTCCTGCCGTTGTGTGTGATTGTAATGAAGCCCTCCTCAATGTCAATGTTCGGCGTTCCGTACTCGCCCATCGTCCCCAGCTTCACCAGATGGCACTCGGGAGCGAATTCCTTAATCGCGAACATAACATTGATAGTACCGATGACGTTATTATGCTGCGTGAAAACCGCGCGGTTGCGATCGATCATCGAGTAGGGCGCCGACCGCTGCTCACCGAAGTGCACCACGGCCGTCGGCTCGAACGTCTGGAACGCGTCTGCGAGGAATTCGAAGTCGCACACGTCGCCGATGTACAGTGCGATCGTTTTCCCCGTGATCTCTCGCCAGCGTCGCACGCGATCGTGGATGGATGCGATCGGCGTCAAGGTCTGCGATCCGAGCTGCTCGTCAAACAACCGACGGCTGAGATTGTCCACGATGGACACGTCATAGCCTTGCTCTGATAGGTGCAGCGCCGTCGCCCAGCCGCAGTATCCGTCGCCACCAATCACCATCACGCGTCCCTTCGACGGCCCGCTGCTGCTCTCGCTGCTGCTCTCAGGAGCCTGCGTGGAAGCTTCGGTCGTTGACGTGGCATACACGGAGGCGGATCGCCGGTATTTCCGAGGCAGAGAGCTCTTGATTTGACTGACGACATGTTGAGAGAGCGGCGAAGGGGTGATGGATGGGAGAGCGCGTGAGCTGGAAGCGGCGCATTTCAAGCTGGCCTTGGAGGAGGAAGCTGCGGAGGCAGAAGCGAGCGGACTCTGCAGTCTCGCGCTCGTTGCTGCTTGCATCGACGCAACTGCTGGAGCGATACACGCCATGGCTGCTCGGTTCAGATCAACAGGTTTCGCAGCTAGGATTGGGGGATGCGATGCTCGAGGCGAACGAAAGCGATGGAGATTATGCCTGTAGCTTGTCGCCTGCAACCTAAGGCGTGACGAGCAGCAGAGTAAACAATGCAGAAATGCCAAGTTTGCTTCTACGAAGGACGCTATGAAATTGCTTGCTGCTGCTGATGTGAGGGGCGAAAAGATGAGGCTGATGTGGATATGCCAGCTGGAGGGTCGAAGTCCTGTCACGCTGGATTCTGATTGGTCGCTCACATTATGGTGCAATAACGGGTAGAATCTGGTAACTGACGCGCGAATCTGGTGTTTTCGGTACGTTCGAATATGCCTTTCCACGTGCCGTGCAACGACACTACTGACGGCAATGACGTGGATTGAAATTCCAACATCGAAGCTAGCAAGTACAGTGCCACCTGTCTCAGAAGCTTATGAAATTGAAATAAAATATGTATCCGACTAGGAGTGGTTGTACATGCAGCAGGTCACCCATAATGCGTACGATTCCTTACAGGATTCCTCCATGGCAGCACATTCCCCCCACAATTCCTTCATTGGCGTGGTACCTTCCTGAAACCTGTGCTGCAGCAGCCTGAAATTCACCCAGCTGAATCCTTGTTTCACAATTTCTCGCATCCCTTTCTTGCGGATTTCGTCATCATGGCCACGAACGGAGAGCACAGGGCGAAAGAAGCGACAACCACGAGCTCCTCACTCACGGATTCGTGGTCCGACGGATTCCTCTGGCGCGGAAAGCAGACCCTCAAAGTTCCAGTTACCATGTTCAACGAAAATCGCCAGAAGCTCGCAGAGCGGATGCGAGCCAAGCTGCAAGGCCGGGAAGAGCATGCCATCGTGCTCCTACAGGTGGGAAGAGCCATGAAGAATAGAAACTTATCTTCATTATTCCCTAATGATTGCACGGGCTGGAATTTCGGCGAGGAACTATGACCCTTCAAACCATTCCGTACCCCTCAAGCTACAGCGTACATCATGAACCCTCTTCTTGCATACTTTTCCATCCGCATCACACTTCCCTCTCCATCCCTTCTTCCTCTCCATGCAAGCAGGGTGGGGAGTCTCAGATGCGCCACTGCACGGACCATGAAGATGTCTTTAGGTGAGGGTAGGTGTCGTAAGGCTTAAGTTATGGGTCTGGAGCAGGTATGGGTTCTCCTCAGTATCAGTTGTGACTTGTCACCTCCTGTCGCCATGGTGTCATATCTTTCCCCGTATCCTCCCTCCATCTTCTGTCTGTTGTGCCTGTTGTGTATCTGACATGGTGCACGGCATGGTATGATGACACGGCATGGCATGGCATGGCATCGCATGGCACAGGCAGGAGAGCTACTTCTCGTATCTCTTTGGGGTTATCGAGCCTGGATTCTATGGTGCTGTGGTATGTATGCATGGGTTTTACTTTTGAGAATTCTCAAAAGTAAGAGTCCATGACTGCCTGTGATGTTGTATGCCCGAGTGCAAGTTCTTCAGGAACATCTGAATGGGTACTGAGTCCAATGCGACATCGAGACTGTGAGGAGGGGGTAAGGGGAGAACGCAGGGGAGGGACAGTAAGACTGTGCTGGTAAGCAAAGTAGCCGGATTTTTAGAGGCCTGAAGAACTATTGGGCTTTTTTTTAGGTGGCTCATTTTTAGCATCTCGTTGAGGTTCTTGAGCTGATGTTTGTCTACTATTTTCTGTGGTAAGTATGTGTGGTTAGCATACAAGATGAATTTTAGTTATTTAACTTTTATGCCGCTGTGATATGCACGTGTTGGTAGACATACTAGTTGGGCTGGGACATAGGGCGTGATTTTACACCGTAGCTTGACTTGAGGCGCCTCAGGAAAATGGCTAGCTACGCTGGGACATACAGCGTAGCGTGACTTGGTGACTTTTGAGTCGACTCAAAAGTCACATGGCTAGCTACGCTGGGACATACAGCGTAGCGTGACTTGGTGACTTTTGAGTCGACTCAAAAGTCACATGGCTAGCTACGCTGGGACATACAGCGTAGCGTGACTTGGTGACTTTTGAGTCGACTCAAAAGTCACATGGCTAGCTGCGCTGGGATGTACAGTGTAGCGTGACTTGACACCCACCAGCCTTTCCGCGCCCACCACCATCTCTACCCAGCAGCACATGTCCGTTCAACAAGCGTTTGGCTTGTCTCAAACGACTTCCACGCCTTCTCTGTCTCTCCCTCTCTCCCTCCCTTCCGCGTCCTGCACTGATATGTGAATTCTGCAGGACGTCTCAGTGCAGCCAGCGCGGTCATTCCTCTTCATGCCTCACTTGCCGGACTCGTATGCTGTGTGGATGGGTCCTCTGCACACCCACCAGCAGATCAAGGTGTGCCAGTGAATCTTTTCTTAAGTCGGATCGTAAATTTTCTTCTTCATGCTTCACTTGCCTGACTTGACTTCTATGCTGTGTGGATGGGTCCTCTGCACACCCACCAGCAGATTAAGGTATCTGTGTCAATCTCTGGCCGTTGTTAGGTATTCGCTGCTCTTTAGGGGGCTCAGTTTAGAGTTGGCAAGGTGCACTATATCGAGGACATGCCAGCAGTGCTGAAAGCATCAGCAGGTTGAGTGATTTCAGCATCCTCATTCCGTCTGCGCCTCCTGCCGCGTGTTTGTTGAGCAGGACAAGTATGGAGTGGACGAGGTTCACTATATCGAGGATATGGCAGCAGTGCTGAAAGCAGCAGCAGCAGGGAGTGGCAGTGGCCTGCCGACTCTCTTCCTCCTGAAGGGGATCAACACCGACAGTGGCAACTCCTGCAAGCCAGCCCACTTCGATGTGAGTCGGGTTTTGCTTAAAAGTACCTCAAAAGTGGCGGCAGCCTGCCAACTCTCTTCCTCCTGAAGGGGATCAACACCGACAGCGGCAACTCCTGTGAGCCAGCCCAATTTGATGTAATATGCGCACAGGATTTAATGTAAAGTTACATGCTTTGAGAGAGCACGTGCGCTGAGTTGCAAACGAGCATTTTATGCATACGTGTTGCATGCCTAGGCCAGCCACTGCCATGTGATCTGATTCCAGCAGCTTCTACTTTTTTGGCCGTGTATTCCCCCCCAACCACCAGGGCATAGACGCGTTTCCCCAGGACCTGACGGTGTTGCACCCAGAACTGAGCGAATGCCGGGTGATCAAATCCCAGGAGGAGATTCGAGTGATGCGCTATGCTGCTGCTGTGTCATCTGATGCTCATGTGGAGGTGGGCTCAAAGGAATTCAAATGGGTGATAGGGAATAAACGAGCCCGGGGGATGGGTGGATAAGGGAGGGTTGGGTATGGGTGGTTGCAATCTGCTGTTGCTGCTGGCGTGTCTTCAGGAATTGGTTGTCTATGCTTCCCTGCATGGTGGAATACTGGGCAGAGGTGGATCATGCGCGATGCAGTGCAGTGCAGTGCAGAGAGGTTCGATTGCCGGGACATGAGAGAACGCCTTGTAAATGAGCATGAAACCCTCGTGTGTGATCAGATCACGCCCTTCTCTTTCTGATGATGATGCCGAGACGGAAGGCAAGGATGACGGAGTATGAGATAACGGCGGATTCCCTGCAGCACCATGCAAGTGAACCCTGTCCTTTTTACCACGAACATGCCTTTTTTCACTTCACGCTGCTCTCTCAGCTGATGCAGAAAGTGCGACCAGGAATGATGGAGGCGCATGAGATGGAGGCGCATGAGATGGAGGCGGATTTCCTGCACCATGCAAGCGAGCATGAATGAAAAACCTGTCCCATCCCATGGTACCCTGTGGGTCATCTCATGCCGCGTTTTCAGGTCATGAGGAAAGTGCGGCCAGGCATGATGGAGTATGAGATGGAAGCGGATTTTCTGCACCATGCAAGTGAACCTGATTTAAGAACCTACCTTTGTGCTCCCTATGTCTCTCCTCACGCCGCTCTTTTATTTCAGGTGATGCGTAGGGTCAAGCCAGGCATGATGGAGTACGAGATGGAGGCGGATTTCCTGCACCATGCAAGCAAACTTGAAAAAAAAAAACGGTCTCGCTCCGGTCTTTGTCTCACCTCACTGTTCTTTCATTTCAGGTGATGCGGCGAGTGCGGCCAGGCATGATGGAGTATGAGATGGAAGCGGATTTTCTGCACCATGCAAGTGAACCCTGTCCTTCTCACCATTCCCTGTTTCATTGCACCCTGCTCTTTCAGGTGATGCGGCGAGTGCGACCAGGAATGATGGAGTATGAGATGGAGGCGGATTTCCTGCACCATGCAGCCGTGGTTGGGGGATGCCGCTTAGCCGGGTACACATGCATATGCGGCACGGGCCCGAACAGCAGCATCCTGCACTATGGCCATGCTGGTGCCCCCAATGATAGGGTGAGAATCCTTCTAAGGTAATCCTGAAAGTGCGGGTGGCTGGGGGGTGCCGTTTAGCTGGATACACATGCATATGCGGCACAGGCCCCAACAGCAGCATTCTGCATTACGGCCATGCTGGTGCTCCTAATGACAGGGTGAGCATCGGAGGATGACTAGGATATTCTAATGATTGTTGAGAGCAATTTTTTACAGCAGCATTGCTTTTCAACGTGGTATTTACTTTTGAGACATGTATGAAGTGTAACCAGGTTTCTCCCCCCCTCCCATTGTGTCATGCAGGAGTGCAGGGATGGGGACATGGCACTTCTGGACATGGGGGCTGAGTATTTCACATATGGCGCTGACATCACATGCTCCTTCCCTGTATGTATGGCTCACACTCACACATGCCATACCATGTCCTTCCCTGTATGTATGGCTCACACTCACACATGCCATACCATGTCCTTCCATGCTGTCACGTGTAGCTGTTGTGTTCTTTGATGCTGTCATGACATCCCACACCGCGCTTCCTCTCGATAGCTTTGTATTGTACCGTACACATGTCCTGCAATCATGATTCCCTCCCATACCATGTCCTTCCATGCTGTCACGTGTTGCTGTTGTGTTCGTCG